CGTTATGTTTAATTCCAATTTTCGTTAATTAGTTGTGATTAATATTGATACAATAATAAAATTGGACTCTATTAAATATGTAAAACGCTTCTTGATTTAGTCATAATTTCATAGGAATTATTTTGTTTTGTTTTTGAAGAAACAATGCTATTTTGTTCTTTAGCTAATTTTGCTCATGAATACGTAAATGTGAATTATTTTTTTCGTTAGCGACCAAATTTTAAAGAAATTAAAAATCCAAAAGTTCTTTTTATGTCTTTTACATCAGATAATCTATGAAGCTTGTGAAGTTATAATAATTTTAATGACATAATATTCATTGTTCATTATGTTTATTTCTAAGTTAATTAGTTGTATTTCAACATCAAATGACTATGGTCGCTGATTCTATACTTGCTTTGAGGACGATCTTGCTTTTGCTGCTAATCAGAGTAGCATTCGCCCAGAATCGACGTAAGTTCCAACCGATTTTTTCCGTGTTCTAATGCACCAGATATTCACTTGCAAGATCTAGAACTGATTTAGCCTATGAAGACACAACACTATTTGATAAATATAACTCAATGATACCGTCAGTATTCACTAAACGTAAGTCACAAACAATTTTTGAAAATGAAACAACTTCAAAAAACAATGTCCAGGATTTCTTACGGAATCCATGGAAGAAAACAAGTGGAGACGAAATGGCGATCTCTATGGAAATGTGCCAAAGGCAAAGACGGGTCTTGAAATTTTGATGATGACCATCATTGATGTAGTTAGTCAGTGGTTTTCGGGTAACCTTGTCTAGCATGCTTTTTTTGACGAGAACAAGCAGTTCTTTCAATAAAATTACAGGATGATAGTAGTCACTCATCAGAGCCGTTCTCGAGTATCGATTGGTCTGTTTGATTGTAAACTTATTCTTATTTTTCAAATTTTGTCTAATTTACTCACTGAACTGTGTTTAAATGATATCAATGTGAAGCCAGTGATTCTTAGCGATTTACAATAGTTTGCATGTGAGCTTTGAATCAGTCATTTGGCAACCTAAAAGTGATCACCACGTATAAATAGAAAGAAGGAGAGGAGGAGAGGAGGAGAGGAGGAAAAAGGGGATGGAGGCTTGACAACAACTTTAGGGAAAAAACTATTTAAAATGCTTAAAATTACAGATAGAATCGCAGTTTTGCCAGAATTATCTTAGAATCGTAAATACGCCTAAGTTAATAGGATGTCAGCCTCTTTCTTTCTCTCCTCATCCCCCTCTCTCTCTTCCTCTCCTC